CTCGTTGCTTGCTCCTCTTGAGCTCGAGCGATCTTCTCCAGCTGGGTTTTGATAGCATCTAGTGCGGCCTCCATGTTTGCGATGCAAGGATCACAAGATTTCCAAGAACCAAACTCAACCTTCTATCTTGCGGCTCAAGAAACTCAAGAACACGCCAAGACCTTCAAGAATTCACACAAGAATCTCCAAGAACCACCAAGAACACGATCAAGATTTGTCACAAACTTAAGAATACGCCACTGATTTGAATCGTGGCTCTGATACCACTTGATACAATCAAAGTCGCACAACTCCAAGCAATTCGGACCAAAAAAGAATCGTATAGGATGGAATTGATCGGGCAGTACTCACTCGTGAACAAGGGGAATCAATATATGAATCGATCAGACAGATTCAACTCGGAATAAAGGGCAATCGATATGGGTAGCTCTCCACAACTAGGGTGGATACCTAGTTGATAAGAGTCGCACTAACACTCTAGAATCCTCAACAGAGTAATTAGGGCAAAAGTCCTCAAGGGAACTCGGCAATAGCCTTTGAAATTCAATAATAATCATTTGCCTCCAAACCAACGAGTTCATCCCCTTTAAATAGGCAAATACAATCCAAATTCGACTCTAACAAGGAAAAATAATAATAAACCGACTTTAATATAAAGGGAACCCAAAAATATCCCAGCAAATACATTAAGCCCAAAACCGTTAAGAACCCGTTAAGGTTCTTGCAATCTGCATTCTCTTTAGCACTTCCTCCTTCTTCCTCCACTTGAATCATCATATATGGCTTCCCTCGAAACAGCTTCACGTCCATGGCTCCAAAGTAGCTCTCCAAATACGTTACAAGCTTCTCTTTCAACGCTTTTGCCTTTGCACGTGTGACTGGCCCATTGATGTCCTCATCACCCAATGTTCATCATCATAAAACAAAACACATAACAGGAGAAAACATAGTACTCCAATGTACGGATTTTGTGGTAATGCCATATGGAAGTCCTCTATATACGAGATAAAATCCCACATTAATAGAAGAGATTTTGTGACCATAACTTAAACTTGTATTAAGGTGAAAATATCCCGCATATGGCGTAATTAACTACATCATTACTAGGATCTTGCTTAGGCACGTCCGACAGTTTGATAACTATGTCGAGGTGAAGTGTAAGATCCACTTAGAGCATATGGTTAATTAAGGTTTTCTAATGACTAATCTTGTTTTGCTGAGAGTGATTTTGCTGGGACGATAAACCAAATAGTGCACTTTCATTTGTTTAAACGTTAGCTGAAAAGGAAAAAGAAACGCAGACATCGACACTTTACCATATTAATAAAAATTATAGCTCTAGGTACAAAGTTGACGTGTTGATAGTAATGGATCTGCGTGATTAGACCTGTTTGGAGTGAATATTATCCGATTTGCAGTGGCATGAGGGGGGGGGGGGGGGACATGTCACATGTGTATTTCTTTATTCTTGCTCCATTTCGTCTCGTCTCGTCCTGTTCTCTTCTCCTTTTATTTTAATTTGTGTTGGGATCTACTTTTGTGTTTCTTCTCTCCAAATTATGTCAGAAATTAGAATGAGTAAATCTACTCCATCTAATGTCTGCATGCATATTATCCAACTTGACATACACCTATTGCAGCCTGAGTATGACTATTGAAGTAGCTAGCCACGTCCTGCCTCATTATCATCAATTCGTGTTGACATATTTTTGATTGGGTTCATCATGAAGTTCATAACCCATATGTCTTGAGAGAGGAAGGAGATGTCGATGCTAGAATTCAATACCAAATGATCATGGGTTGATGCCTAATGCCTTGCCACACAACAGCAGCCTAGAACATCAACATTTAGGTTGACCTATTGAAAATGAATAGATATTTGATGTCGTCTTAAATATGCTTTTTTTCGTTTGTTGCATTAGTTTCATCCATATTTTTTATGAGCTTTACTTTGTAGCAGATTTTATCTTGTTCAGTCAACGTTTTTTGACAATAATTTTTAGATATAAATAGTAAGGATATGCGACTCTTTTAAAATTATACATGGAAATTGATACTCCCTATATAGTTTAACTAAATTCTTTAAAGTCCACATGATTAATAATACAAGTTAACATTCTTTAATTTGTGCGAGGTCGAGCAAGTTGACGTACTGATTTGAAAGTGAACAAAGTGATGGGAATTGAGAGCATAAGCTAGCTAGGTATAGGTTGGCCTCATCGCCCTTCGATGGATCGATTGCACGGTAGTATAATTAATGGTTTTGTCGCCTCAATTGAAACAGTAACATTAACAAAAAGGTGGGCAAAGCATAGCTAATGTATTAAATCTTGCTCAATTTGATGCAAATTAACACGTGAAAGATATTAGATCTTAGGATTTGATTCCCTCCCTGAATTCCTTCCACGATCTTGCTTTTTGCCTTTGCAAGTTATCATTTTGCATCATTACGTGGTATGAGGATAACACAAAAGGCAAAAGCGTGATATGAGAACAGGGTTATGATAAAATTAAAAGGGGTTAGTAACAGGGTTCTAATTAATTAGATAATTTGATCCAATTGTTATAATTTATATGTATATTCGACCACATTTATTTGAGTTGGATTTGAATTGGGTCATTTTGGGTCAATTTATTTTAGTTAGACTCAAGTGGATATATTTGAGCTCAGATAATTGTACACACAAATATACTAGCTATATCGACCATTTGGTTAACTGCCTTCAACACAATTATACTTTAAATGTTGATATTTTCACCTTTTTGTTGGTTCTATAACATAAAAATACGACAAAAACTGCACTAGAATCGAATATCTATGTTCTTTTGCGTATGAATCTGCCCGAAAAATAATATTACCCAAACTTGAGTTGATCCATACTAAGATGACTTTGAATAATATTCAAATATTGAGTCTTTTTTCCATCCTTATTGACAGCGGTGTGTGAGAGTACTCTTTTTTTTCCTCCATAAGATAAGATATTCGTATTAATTCTACTCGTATTAACTGAAAACAAAGATGAAGGGTTACACAATTGTATGCCGTCAAGAAAAAAAATCAAATCCTATCCGCATTGTAATAAAAAAAACATTTTGAGCTACAAAATGTGCTATCATATTATATCTCCTACCCTTAAAACGAAGGTAAGAAATAAAAAAAATAATTTTTTGAGTTACAAAATGGGCTACCTCTTGCATCTCCTATCCTTTATTCAAACCCAAAGACCAAGATGCACAACCAGCAACATACTCTCATTAAATCTATCCACCAAAAAAACTAATTAAATCTATGATGTGGATTTTTTTAAGGTGTGTCATCTTTCATTAGGCTAGAAAGAATTATTATTATAGTATTGCAAGATTGTGAGTAGAAGCAATAATCTACTCTGAAAAGTATACAGAAAGGCACTTTATACTTTATAGTATATGCTTTATTATTCCTTATCAAAAGTACATGTGTGTTAATTAAGCAGGAATAGGAATTAACAAGTATACTTTTCTCTTCTTGGCTGCAGTGATGATCCAACGTGCATATATACACCAAAAATTAGAAAAAGAATAGAGTTTGCTAATGATAACTTAGAGTGGTGCAATTTGGTTATGTTAGGTAGATAAAGTGGCCCATGCAGAAAGTTTTGGAGCTGGAAATGGTTATGACTAATAATTGTTAAACATGATCATTTCAGTAATAAACGTATAAAAATGTACAGTCAGTATATACTTCAATCATTTTATGTGTATTCGGGTCTCAAATGATCATGTCTAATTTGTCTAATAGTTTAGGGTTTCGACTTTCGAGTTAATGAGTTAGCAATTTGGGAAGCCGTAAGTCCAAGCATTAATAGTGAAGTCATTGTCAAAGATCACTTGGATTTGTAGAATTGTAGTTAACACCTTCAGGCTCTGTTTTTGAAAGAGGCAGAGAAAATTAGGGAGGGAAAGAAAAATATAGAGGTAGTGAAAATTTGAGAGTATTGAAATAATGAGAAAAATGATGTTTAATTTTGAAAGTGGAAAGAAAGAGAAAAAGATGGGAAAAGAGATGGAATAAGAAACAATAATTGTTTTCATCATAAATTGGGGAGGTTGGCAATTACTAGTTACTACGGTGAATTTCCCTCCAAACAATCACTATTTTGCACTATATCAGAACTTACAATTTTTTTTTGTTCATTACCTAAAAAAATTCGATTTTTTTGAAACCTTTTATTTTCCTTCCTTCATGAATACATGATCAGAGTTTATGTCAAGTTAAAAAAAGTAGAAATTTAATACCATGACACAAACATAAAGGACATGACAAGAAAATGGTGGGTTGAGGCCTCAATCAGAATGGGTCTATTTAATCCCTTTGAGATGAGTCATCACCATCACTATGGGGCTGAAACCATGTGGCCTGCACAACCAAAAAAATATGTTAGTCCAAGCCCAAGTCCAAGATTCAAATCCAAGTACACCCAAATTCAAGACCCTAATGATTCAAACGAGCTGTAAGTGGTTCAATGGTTCGAATCGATCCGATAAAATCGAAGATAAAGATGTCACATTCCATTGCAACACCTCAAGAGCCAATTAAAGGTTGCCAACACACAAATGAATAAGGGAAAATTTGGCTAGTGCATAGCTTGGAGGGGCCATGGCCCCCCATCTAGTTAGTGACATTCAGATTATGCCAATTCGTACTATAAATGACAGTTTGAGGCAAAGTTTAGGGTTCAAATAACATTACCCCTAAAATATACAACGTGCAAGCCTACAATATAAATTGCAATTATCAAATACTATGAGTATAAAGAAAGAACTTTTTGAGCCACTGGAGTTTTGAGGACTTGAATTAAGAAAGATTTCGATTTCAAGATTGAAAATGTAAGAATTACATAACGTAATGTACTAAAGGCACACCTTATGCAAAGTAACAAAGACTTATTACTCCGAAAGAGTGAATCAACGAACACACGTATTCCCCCAAAACACCACGTTCCCCCTCCCTTTTTGTTTCGTCAGTAAACAATAGGTGCCACTCTTGGAACATGAACAGGAAACTCATCGATCTCGCCGTCCCACGAATTTTTCTCCTCTAGCCCAATATCCCTCAAAGCGCGCCACACAGCGCTGTTGCACTTGAAACCCGACCCGAACCCGATCTGCCAAACCCGATCCCCTCTCATGACCCGCCCCTTCGCCTCGCTGTACGCCAACTCATACCACAACGAACTGCTCGACGTGTTCCCGAATCTGTACAACGTCATCCTAGAAGGCTCCATGTGCCACTCCGTCAATCCCAGGCTCTTCTCCACCTCGTCCAACACGCTCCTACCGCCCGCGTGGACGCAGAAGTGCTCGAACGCCATCTTAAAATCCGGGATGTACGGCTCGATCTTCTTAACCTGAAAGCCAGAAAAAACGTGAGTGATGGGACTTCGGGAAGCGACATGGTTACCAAATACTCCGTTTGATACGCGTATGTATGGATGGATATACGCAACGCGCAGTCAAAAGCACAATTTTATGTGAGAGCATAAAAGTGTGTAAAGTTTTAAATTTAAAGCGCGATTTTTTTATTACATTAGTTAGGACAAAATGTGTGTTTCAATGTACAAGTGTTTTAGTGTTTCTAGAAGCGCAAACGCACGAAATTTTAAGCATGAAATCGTGATTTAATTTTAACTACATTAGGTGTATGTATTTTATCCTGTCTTTTATACTATTGTCAAACCGTCTTACTTTTTTCCCGTATATTTCATGGCTCCCGTACTAAACATCTTTAAAATATGTGTAAAACTGTCCGTATTTAATGAATTAAATTGATGAGTTGAACATTTTTATACATTAATTTATTGTTAAACAATTAATTTTATATATTCTATTATTATTAACATTACTACAATTATTTTGATGATGAATTAAAATACCCGTATGCACTTTATTTGTATGGTATTTTAAAAATCAACCTGGAAGACCTTCCGGGCGACGAGGGTAGCCAAGAAGAGGAGCTGCTCCGACATAGGAAGGACGAAAGGACCCAACGTGGTGATGTTGGTTTTGAGGGCTTCGCCGGCGATGGCCATTAGATCCTTGGAGAGGGAGACGCCGACGATGTTGTGTTGGTCCTCTTCTTGGAAGACGCAGCGGTAGGATCTATCGTCAGCGCCCTTGTGGGTGCGTACGGTGTGGAGGAGCTGGTACTTGGAGCGGCGGCGCTCAGATCGGCGGTTGGTGAGTAGAACAGCAGAGGCTCCGACGCGGAAGAGGCAGTTGCTTACGAGCATCGGTCGGTGGTTTCCTAGGTACCAGTTGCGACATATGTTCTCCGTGCTTACGACCAGCGCGTACGTGTGGGGATGCACCTGTTCATGCATGTCATTATTGTAAGAAAGTGATTAAGTATCATATATCGAACTCTCACAAAAATTTGGGTTATTGAGACCAGTTGGTTTATGACACGGTATCAGAGCCTAATATAACTGAGAAGTATTCTGTTCGAATTCCAAAGACAATCAAATTTTTTAAGCACATGGTATTCTGACATGTGCAAACCTTAAACCTATATGAATGAACTTTCGATTGAGGAGGCAAGTTAGTAGACAGTATAATATTCATAATTGAACCTCTCCCAACAACTCGAGTTATTGGGATTGGTCCATGAAGGTTATTTAACTACTTCCTTACATGCCTAGCCCCTCAAACGAAACCCAACTCATGAGATTGGAGTTTGTACAGACCCACCATGCCATGGGTTCTAAATAAAATATTTTATATTGAAATTGTAAGGATTTCAAAAGGTGATCTCAAACACAAGTCAATTATGATATTATTAAAAAAGAATTGATACCACTAATTCAAGTTGTTGATAGAATTTCAATTATACTATTTTTACCTTTTACTAACGCAATTTAATGCATGGGGAAAATTTATAGCAATTAGCAACAAAAACCTGAAGGAGGCGTTTGGCAAGGTCAACGGCGATCAAGCCAGCGCTACACCCCATCCCACCAAGGTTAAAGCTCAACACATTCCCCCTTAGCTTATAATGGTTCACAATCGCCGCGGAAAGGGAGGGCGTCGGATTGAACGTGCTACTGTTCACCACCAGCACACCAATCTCCCTGGCCTCCACCCGGCTCTTGTCCAGCAAGTCATCGATCGCCCCGAACATGGCCGCCTCCGTCTCCTCCCTCGCCGCCGCCATCGACTGGTCCGGCGGCGTCGCCATCAGCCCCGCCGGCGCGTGCATCTTCTGCCCGTACCCTGACCGCTCCAGAATCTTGCGCTGGAAGTCCAGGCTCTCTGCCGTGAACCTCCCCGTAGCGGATGACACCCTCATGTGGGTTTCCTTGGAGCACAAGTTACCCGGGAAGGGCTTGTAGCAGGCGAAGTCGAGGAGGTAGACTTTTCGAGGGGAGCGCATGACGTGGACGGTGGCGATGAGGGCGAGGGAGATGGAAGTGACGGTGAGGATGGCGGAGTTTTTGGTGCAGAGGTCGAGGAGGAGGTTGGCGGTGGAGAGGTTGGTTAGGATGACGGCGGCGAGCGGGATGAGGAGGAGGTAGACTGAGTTGGTGACCAGGTAGTGGTATCCGAGTTTAACGTACTTGAGCTTGACGGAGAGGGTTAACGGGAAGTGGCCGTTTTTTGAAGCTGCGGGTGACATTTTGTTTTTAGCAATATGTGTTGTTTTGGGAGTTTGGATCGACAAAAGAAGTAATGGAAATGCAGGGGCGAAGAGCGTCTTTAATATGCAGAGGATCGATGAGGAAGGCTATTTAAGCTGCTGCTGCATGGCATTGGGGGTCCTAATAGTGATGGTAATTAGGAGGGTTACGGTATCTCAATATTTATACCACATTAAGTATGGTGAGGTTGAGTAATGTATTGTCACGCATCAATTGATCTTCGAAAGTCATTCAAGGCCTTGAAATTTGCACAGGTCCGAATACTATGTGCGTAACAAGTGGGAATCCGAACACAAAACGTCTCGAATATAGAACTCTGATGCAATGTCAAGAACCAATTGATCCAAATAATTCAATTTGTTAGGAGATGTTCAGTTGTGAATCTTATACCATTTACTAACAGGTACGGGTTATGACAGGTTGACGCATACTTACATCTTATTTGACGAAATTTTCATTAATAAAATAAAGAAAAATAATTCATAAACAAAAGACTAAAGATAATATGTAGATTAATTGAGTCAATTAATTGAAAGATAAAATATTGCACTTATTTAAACTGTCATTGTATGAAAAAATGAGTTAACATAAATCAAAATAAGATAAATAAACATAGACACGGAAACAAATCAGAGTAGAACTGATCAACAAGAACGGAACAGAATGCATGGGGCGAGGCAATAGGACCAATGTAGTCAAAATCGCGCTTTAAAACTTAAAAACTTACGATTTCACGTTTCTAGTTCACTAACACGCTTCTACACAAAATCTCAGTTTTTATAACTTATGTAGTTAAAAACTTACGATTTTACGTTTCTAGATCAACAAAACATTTCTACTTAGAAACTCGCTTTTGACTACATTGAAATAGGACAATAATATCCGAACACGAAGCATATCGTGTAAAATCCGACGAGAGGGATGCAAATTGACATCATTGCTTAGCAGAGAATTATGGCTAGTGTCCGTTGTTGCTCTTCTGCCAGCCTGTGTCATTATGGTCGTGGGATCTCTCAGGTAAAATTGTCTATGGGTCTTTCGATTTGATTCCCTCCAACCTGAATTTCCTCCCGCGATCTTGCTTTTTACCTTTTCAAGTTATCATTTCATTCCATTATTACATGGTATGAGCTAACACCAAAAGGTTATATGAGAGCATGGCCTAGCGATCAAAGGGTTGGCTGGGCTGGGAGCATGCACTCCCACTTGTTGTTTATATATGTATACTTAAGTATGTTTTTTATTTTGTAATTAAGTATGTCTATGTTCTATAAGTTATGGCGATCCGAAATTTTATATCGTTATTTTTACCGTAATAGTACTTGGATATTTTTTTTTTAAATATCAAAAGTTATGGACGATCTCTTCATCCCCCTCATCGTTCCATTTACAGCCTGTATGGACAGTGATGTGTGCAGCCTTCATTAGTTCTTATGTTTGCAAAAGCCCATAAGAGTTAGCCTAGAGCCTGCTCATTTCTTCTTGGGTTTCATTGCTTTGCAGGGGTAGCCTTCTCCAATTTTGAGATAACGGGTTACGGAGGAGCAGCTCAAAATCCTTAAATTTTCTCGGCTAAATTACACGTTTTGTCACCTTAAAGATTTTTCTTTGTTATTGGCCACTAACTTTACGTTTCGTTTCATCAATGGTCACTCGCCGTCAAACTCCGTTAAGTTCATCTGAGGTGGCAGTCAACTATATTTTTTGACCGTTAAGTTGCTGACGTGTCAATTAAAAAAATTACAAATAAATAATTGTGTTTGCCATCTAAGAAAATTAAAGAAAACCAACAGAGAAAAAGTTCCGCGGGGCAATCCATTCTCCCTCTAACTCACCCTCCTCCGTTCTCATTACTGGGGCCGAGATTTATCTTGGAGAAGCTCCGGCGTTCTGGTCAGTTTTGGAGCCTGGGGAACTGAGGGGATCTGGTGGTGTGCAACTATGCATGTGCTCTTATCTTTCTTAATATATGCTTTTTCTCTTTCTCTTTCTTCAAGTCTAGGGTATACCGCAATATGTGAGACGCCTTGAGCACGAGTGCAGGTTGTTGGAGTAAAGGGGGAAAACGAGTTCAAATGCATAATTCCAGTAGGCAATTGCCAATTTGCAATACCAATTCTTCTCAGCCAACACCAATTCTTCCCTCTTCCTTGATCGCGGTGTTGCTAACAATTGGTTTCCCTTACAATCCGCCCTCAGCTCCAATCCCCCCGGCCCCCGTAACTCTGTAAAATCTCATCTCGAGATCTATCCCTTCCCCAATCAATCTCGATTGATGCCTCGCCCATGGCCACGACCACCTCCTCCTTCTCATTCTCTCTACCATTGCTGCAGCAACATCCACTATCGTAAAGTTAAAAGCCAAAGAGCTTTCTCCTGTCGTCGAGCACTACATACGCTGGGAAGTTTATCGTGCTGGCACCGGCAGTGGCGATCCAGGGAGCAAGATTGGTAACCGCCCTCGAATTTGGGCCACCATTCCGGTGAAGGAAGACAAAACGACTCCCCTCGATACGACGCCATAGGAGAATGGCGATGGGATCGAAGTAGCACGGAGAAGAGATCTCGTCGCCGCCGTCGCTCGGAATCGAGATGACGTCCATGCCGTCGTTAACTGCTGCCAAGGCATACACGAGAAATCAGGTTTGGGTTTCCAAGGCATACATGTTGTTATGGTATAAGAGCAACCCTAGCCGCCGCCTCTCCAATGGCAGAAACAACATCAAAAATTCCCACACCAAATCCCACTGTAGATCCTTATTATCTCCATGGTTCTGAACAACATAGACTTTGGTAGGCCAGAAGCTGACCACCACCAACTACAATGGCTGGAGCAAGGCAATGCTCAATGCTTTGGCCGCCAAAAACAAGCTCGGTTTCATCAATGGCACCATCACTTCCCCTGCAGACATAGATGCTCGTTTCTCATCCTGGAGCAGGAACAACATCATGGTCCTCAGCTAGATCCAACAAGCTATCGAACATGGCATCAAGAAGACAATCATGTCTTGCAAACTCGCATATGAGGCCTGGACAAGTCTTAAAGCTCGCTATGGTCAAGGAGACATGGTTCGCGTGGCTGAGTTGATCGAATCCATAAGCACCCTGAAACATGGTAATCAAACAGTAACCGAGTACTATGGAAATCTCATTGCCTTACAAGATGAACTCGACAACTACCAGCCCATAAACCCATGTCGTTGCACAGATAATAGCCATATAGATTGTGCAACCCTGAATGCTGTTATATGATACAGGGATGTCAACTCTGTTATCCAGTTTCTGCGTGGTCTTAATGATATCTATGCCTCTGTTCGTTCTCAAGTTCTATTTGGAGCGTTCTTCCAGCCATAGACAGGGTTTTCCAGCAAGGGAAAACCGTTGCTGTTGAGAGCACTGCTTCTGCTGCTGAGGGTTCTAAACGCCCTTTTACTCCTGGCAAGCGTCCCCATTTCACATTTTGCAACTCTCCAGGCCACAATGAAGACACTTCTACCATAAGCATGGTTGGCCACCAGGCTTGTCATCACGAGCATCCACTGTGACCTCTAATCCCTCTGCCAAACCACTAGAATGCACATTCTGTAGGAGGATTGGCCACACTGAAGACAAGTGTTTCAAGAAGCATGGTTATCCCCCTCCCTCCCAAGCCAGACCACCTCGCTCCAGGACATCAATCAATGCCACTGAGAGTGGTTCTTCCTCTGATTCACAACAAGAATTAAACCCACCAAGTCAGATTATGAGAAGCTGATGACACTCATGAATGACAATCTCAATGGCAAGCAGTCTTTCCCCTCTCACTCAGCTGCTCTTACCACTCACTATGAGTCTGAACCATCAGGTAAACATTCTTGTTACCTTCTCAATCACAATACTTCTGCTACTCCATGGATCTTGGACACATGAGCTACTTACCACATAGTCAGTTCTCTCACATTCCTACATACATTCAAAAAGGCCAATCATTCCTATATATATATATCACATTCCTATATATATATCAACTTACCTACCAGAGATAGAGTTCAGGCCACTCACATTGGCAAGTGAATTGCCTCAATGGTCTCATCCTTGAGGATGTTTTATTTGTTCCTAAATTTACCTTCAACCTCATCTCAATAAGCAAGTTGACAACCACCAGCCCCTTGTGCTTAACCTTTTCTTCTGACTCCTGCACAATACAGGACATGGAGCTGAAGAGAGTGGCTGATTCTGCTAAGCTTTTCCATGGCCTTTACCACATCAACCGAAACATAACTAATATCCCTAACCACATCACAGCAACTGTTAGTTCACCCTCTTTAGATATATGGCGTTTCAGACTTGACCATGTTTCCCACAGTCGAATTCCCCCATTGAAACAACTTTGTACATCCATATAAATCAACAACATCTTACCTTGTGATGTTTGTCATTTTGCCAAACAAAAACGGTTTTCTTTCCCTACAAGTTTAACTGTAAGTCTGTAACTACACATTGTTTTCAGTTAATCTATGTTGATATTTGGGGCCCCAATTCTTATCCTACATATGATGGTTTCAAGTATTTCTTAACAATAATTGATGATCATTCCAGAATGACTTGGATCATTCTCCTTTCATCCAAGGTTGATGCCAGACCTAAACTTCAACAATAATGCACAATGATCACCAACAATTTTAATTCATCTGTACACACCAATCGTAGTGACCAAGGAAGATAATTCCAGATGCCTGAGTTCTTTGCAGACACTGGCATCAGCCATGGAATGTCCTGTGTGGTGACCCCCCAACAAAATAGCAAGGTTGAGCGCAAACATCAACATATATTAGCCATTTCTAGACCCTTGAAATTCCAAGCTAATCTACCTATTGGTTTCTGGGGAGACTGTGTAAAACATGCAATATTCCTCATTAATCGTGTCCCCACACAAGTCCTAGCCAATCTTACCCCTTACCAAAAACTATACAATAAACCACCTGATTTACAAGACCTA